TGCAGTGGCCCTCATGACAAGGCATCTTCTTCAACTTCAGTGGATGAACTATCATCAAAGTATTAACACAACGATTAAAATGTCAATCTTATAAGCAGAGAAGCTCATGAACAAATGACTTGCAGAAGAATTATTCTAAAGTGGGGGAAAATAACTAGACTTCACCAAAAATGAAGATGAACATAATTCCCAATAAATTTTGCATTTTGCCAGAGGATTGATAAGAAGAATGCTAAATGAAAACAGTGATTACTCTGAGTTTATATGTGCTGATCACAAATTTAGACGCTAAATACACTAAATCAATAAAATAAGAACACCGCAAATTTTCAATCTACAGCTAATTCACGTTAGATAAAACTATCTCTCTCCTAAATAACTTGTTCAGATCAAGACATAAATAAAGCAAACGGATCCAATAACAAAAGCATCAAAACCCACAACAAACCCCCAAATTTTAAAATTTCACCAGGTTTTGATCACTTTTTCCGCCGCCTCCTCGCTCATCTGGCCTCCAAACATCACCGGAGAGATCCCACTCGCGGGCTAAACAAACAAACCAAAAAAAAGAAAAAATCATTTTTCGTTTTCGTTCCATTTTCATTCCAAAAATAGAAATCAGGGGAGAGAGCTTTCGTTCCAAAAAAAGGAGACCCTAAGGAAGCTAAGCTGACCTTGTTCGTAGCCGACGGCGGGGATCACCTTGTCGTAGCCACGACGGAAGCGGCCGGAGGAGGGGAGGCGCGAGGGGCGCGATTCTCGGGGTATGCGGAATAGACTGCCTGACGGGATCTGGTGGTGAGACGCGTGCACTTCTGGAGGTGACGGGCGGAGGGATTTCAGGCGATTTGGACGGAGAGGGTCTCTTGGCGGACGTGTCGGACGGTGGCCACGTCTCCTTGCCGACAAAGGAGGAGGTTAATGCTTATGATGCGCGATGTACATGGGAAGGGAGGTTCCGAGAACGTCAAGTCTAGGGGTAGCGGGGTTTTCTTGACAATGTTGGAGGTGAGCCCTTCAGTAGGCCTTCAGTTGAAAGGGGGAAAAACGGCCATTACCATTTATTGCGAAATTTTAATACGGATGGGGTTGGGTGGAATCGATTTTGCGGTCGAAAACTCCTGGTTTGTGTTGTTTTGTGAGTTCTTTCACGGTCAACCCATCTAGGACGAGAATTTCCCGCGTCGTAGGACTGTATCCTATACGGGAATTTCCCCTCTTAGAATATTCTGGTGGGTGCTTCTAAAAGGAATAGCCAGTAATAAAATAGCAACCGTCTCTAGGTCACTATTCTAGATGAAATTTTCCATCTTTCATTAGACACAATGATTGTGTATCCTAGACGGAATTATTCTAGACGGAAGATTTTAGCTGTCGTACTCTTCTCCCGATCCTAGACGGGAAAATTTGTCCGTCTAGGAGTATTCTCTTGTTGGGCGCGGACTATCTCATTTGCTGCTCTAGACGTGATAGTCTAGGGCTCTGCCAAAATGAGATAACAATAACTGTGTTGCCGTTCGGTATAGGCTGTATTATACTGGTGTGGGTCCTGTGGGTTGAGGCGGTTCGCTAGTCATGCGCCGTGTAGTCAGTGATTCATCGCTAGTTAGTAGTAGGAGTCATAGTAGCCGTGTAGAGTGAAGCTGTAGATATGATATATTATATATGAGAAATTTACATCTCATGGTATAGCGTGGTCACCAAAAGGCATCCCCGTTTTTGGTAAGTGATGTTGGACCACATTGTCCCTCGACATCACACTCTCTCGCTCTCTCTCTTCCTCCTCACCCTTCAAGTGTGATGTACTGGACAAAGATCGTTTCCACTCACCTTTCTCCTCTATTTCTCTTAGCCCAAGTTTGACTTCGCCGCAGGTATCCTCTCTCTCATCTCTACTCTCTCTCTCTCTAGCGTTTTTCTCCAAGTCAGGTCAGTCTCAATCTCTCTACTATCTCTTCTCTCGGCGTAGGTAGAAATGCAGCGTTCTGTTTTTGAGGGTCATGGGAGCGATTGTGACTTTTAATGTCTCATGATCCTCCTGTACGGGGGTTATCGCAGGAAAATTCAGTATACCCGATTTCGGTGGTAGAAAGCTCTAAGCCGGACCGTTAGAGGGGTTCTGTGTTCTGTCTCAATATTATAGGTGGTGACACACAAGGTTCGACGCTGATAAAGCGCAATAGCTACGCTACGGCTCTGCTGCGCAGATAGATCAATAAGAGGATAAGTAGTATGTGTCTGGTGTCAGGGTAGTAGCGGTAGTACCGTAGTCAGCAAGCCGATAATAGTGAGAAGTGAGCGGTGAGCGTAGTTCGGTACCTATAGTTACGCGTGTGGGTAAATATTAAAATAAGTAGGGCGCGCCGTATAGTTCGGCCGGGAATGCACGTATAGATATACTCATTACACAGAGTGGAAACTTGCTCGTCAAGCCACTTAGAGTGGATAGAGAAGATAGTGTGTCACACTAACATTTCCCGCGCTACTCGTCTCACTGTCTCTTGCGCTAGGTTGTCCATTGGGCCGGTGTTGTCATTGTTACTATGTTAGAAAACGCTGTGAATATGCTATGGCGGCGCGTTGGAAGCCTCTGCGTATTATAAACCTAGGGCTAAAAAAGTTGTTGCGTGGATCAGCTATTCGCCTGTCGGTATCCACTTAAGTTGATGAGAGTCGGTTGCTTCGAGATCAGTCGGTGTGCTAGGTAGGTATGGACGGGGTGCGGTCATACCGCCCGGATCCGTATTAATTATTGATTTAATAGTCGCCAGTTTTGATCATCTGGCCTGGTATGTAACTTTGTGCTGGAAATCGTTGTTGCTAGGTGCATTCGAACGATGGTCTGTTCAGGGTGTTTGATGTGTCACGATGTTCGCTCAATAATTCAGCTGCTATGGCTTATTT